CTCGAGACTGATGTCTTTTCTTGGTTACAGGTTCAGGAACAAGAGTTTGATCTGTCTCGCTTGACGTTCTGTTACTCTTTCCGTATCCAAATCAATAATGACAGAATGATCCAGCCTTCTTTTTGGCTTCAAAGTTAGCCAGCTAGTAAGAGAAGTCTACACTAGATGCAATTATCTTTTTTTTTTTAAGAAAAAATTAGAAGAGATACAATATTTTACATTTAAATCATCATCTTGGGGGACCGGATTTGGCCCGCGGCTCTAGAGTTTGACATATGTGCTTAAAACATGTTATTTGCTGTATTTCAGTAGTTGCAAATGCAAAGGGATCATGAGAAAGACTGTCTTGTTCCACCCAGAAGTCCCACTAATACTGAATTAAACAGTTTTGAACTAAAATAGCACTCGGACATTTATTCTGCCTCCACATATCAGCTCCATCAGGCCAATGAAATAGAAAGAAAGTGAACGAGAGTATTTTCGGTTATGTGTTGCGCATGAGCACCAAAACTGCAGAGTATATCGTTTAATCTTTTTAAAATTGAAAATTCTTACACAAAAACATGACACAACGTGTACACTAAGTAGTCATAGAGCAGATGTTCATGTCCTGATTTTGAAAAATGTGACTATATAGCCATAGAATGTGCTCTTTTCTCCTCTAAAATCCTCCTCTAGCCTCTGTACAGCACCATATGGACAATGAAATATTCATGAACTGTTGGTTAACACAAATCTGCACAGGAGATGAGAAAACATGAGCTTAGCAAGCAATTTGCCTATTACATTAACAGACGGGGCTGTCATGAGACGATATTGGCGTATGCATATTTCTCTCTAATCAGATTTCACGTTTAAAGAGCTCAGAGAAAGTGGTTCAAGTTGTGGAAACAATGACATCATGCTGCATGTTCCTCTGCTGACCCAACCCAATCAAGCTCGTGAAATTTTTGTTTATTTATTTAACATCTCAGACTTGTGGTTTTAACACGTTTACTGCTTTTGAATGCTTCACGTCCTCTTTTCTTCTTCTGTTGTCTGTTTCAATATCGGTTTCTGTCAGAGACGTGTCGAAACATCCTCAGAAATGCAGAATGAAACAAACCAAGCCACAGATGTAACAAAACAGGCAGTGCAGTGTAAAAATAGACTGCAACATTTCTGTTTGTGATCAGTGCATCTGGACAATGTTAAAATACTGAAGCAATAAACTGCTATAATCTCCTCCCTCTGGAGGATGACTAAAAAAGAATTCCTAAGGATTGTAGCAAAATAATAAACGTTTCTTTTTAATAACGAATACTAACACTGAGTCAGATATCTCAAACAAAGCAAACTGAGCCGAGCGTATGTTGTTTCTGTGCCAAAGAATGAGACTTTAAGAATATAGGACAAATGAGCGAGAAGGGAGGAGGGTAGCTTTGCCTCAAACACGATTGCCTCACTAACTTTTAAAATACTGTTATTTTAAACTCTGCACACAAGAAGTATTAGGTTTCTGACAGAGCCGAGGCAGGGAGGGGAGGGGAGAGGGAAGCTCTGGGAGCCAAACTTCAAGGAGAATCAAGAGAAAAATGGAAAAAATGTTGCTCGTAATATTTTCCATAACATGGGGCCATTTTGTTTAAACATCTCATCATCCTATACCACAGTTTCGCAAAGCTTCCATATGTTTTTTGTGGCACATTCTGCTTAGCATCCGTGCCAAATTATTCTGAGTAATACTCAACACACAGCTCGTAACCAAAAAAAACAACTAAATAAGATACATAAAAAAAATGTTATTCGGTACTTGAAAGGCCCACTCAAACTATTTCTAGCCTTTTTTATCACTGTAGAGAGCCTCAGTAATGCCAATATTATTATAGTGCAGTATGTCTCACCTTTGTTCTTCTTAGGATTATATAAGTGATTGATTTTCATTCTGTGTGTCAGAGAGAATGCAATAAGTAAAAAATATTTGTACCAGCGCGGCCTAAAACACAATTTATATCTCTCGTTAGGCTGTAATATTACATTCCTTCTGGCAAAGAAAATAAATTGAGAACAAAAAAAAAAAAGTAGCATGGGTATAATCAATCCACGCTGGCAGCGAATGCATGATAATTATAAACAAAAACTGTGTCATTCCCCACGAGGGAAGCAGCTGCCGGGGTGACGGGCGATGCTGAACATGAATATAGATCACAGGACTTAAGATTTAACTGATGCAACCACAGTTTGGTTCAAGACACTTCAAACAAGAAAGGGTAAGTTTTTGGGGGTTTTTTTGTAATGAAGCAATATTTGCTAAAGTTGTGATTACATTGGGAAACTACTTAATATTTTTCCCATTGAGCGGTCAAAAACTGTAAAAATAAAGATAAGAGAAGTCAGAGAATGCAAATGTTTGACAAGATCTGGACCAAAAAAAAAAAGAAAAAGGGCAATATTTTACACTATATGGTAATTTAAGCTCACTGTTATTCATGTTTGAGCCTTCTCCTCTGGACCCCCTGAGGTAACTTGACACAGTTTTATAATTTAGTCTGGAGAAGATGAACGGCTTTCACAGCTAACAAATTTCTCCGGATCCAAAAGGTCAGAATCAGTTTTGAACCCGTTAACATTTCACAGATGTGCAGCGTTGCTTCTGATGTGTCCACAGTGGTGGTATTTATCCTAATAAAGGTGGATTTAATATGTTTTTGTATCGAGCCTGTAAACAGCAGGATGACTACTCAGCAGCTGTGTCTAAGTGTGCAAACATTCACGTGTGTGTGTGTGTTTGTGCCTGTAAGTCAGTAAGACGCCCTCGAGGCCTTATTCACCTGCCAGAGTGATGTAAATTACTTAGCTCGGCTGTTTTGAAACAAATCACAATCAAGTCTCTGAGCAGCGATTCTGGCAGAAATAAAAGTCTGCTTCAAACCGAGTAAACCTTCATGTGAAGAACATTAGAAATCTGGCTGGCTTAGAGAAAAGGGGAAAAAGAAGCAGAATTCCCTTCAGCTATGAAAATAAACCTTTAGCTTCAATGTGACTCACAGAGGAATGGCATCATTGAGCCAAGCGAATGAGCAACAGCAGCCACAGGATGTTGGCGTTGCTATTCATAACTTTTTTTTTTTTTTCCCCCTCTGCCTAAATTGTTTTCCCTTCTGGTCTCACCTCTTCTGCTCTCTTAAAATGCAATTACCTCCTGGCAAATTTACAGGAAAAGAAACACAATGACTTCTGACCAGAGGAGCCATTAAACCGAATGTCACACTGATTCTGCAACAAGAGCCTGCTGAGACACCAAGCAGAGGAAAATATACAAATGGCTGAATCACATTATTTGTTTGTTTTTAGCTTTGGAATATTTTTTTTTTATTTTTTTTAGGCGAGGTTTCACAAGAAGTGGGGATGGCGTGATGAATGGCAGATAAAACATGTTCTAGCGCTTTCACAACTCTTCACTGGAACCACAAAATCCTTTTCAAAGGCGTGCGACTGATGAGTTTATTTCAACAGCAGTCACTGCTGAAAATAGGCAGAAAGTCTGCTCTGGAGACAAACTAATAAAAATAAACTAATCTGAAACTACATTGAAAAGCAAAACATGAACTAGACTGAATGTTTTAAAGTCTGAATTATCAAAAAAAAAAAAAAAAAAGAGATCAAAAGCGTGTTGGGCCTTAATTTATTTATCAAACAGGACAAACAGAATTCATTAAGTGGTGCGAGAGCTATCCTCTGCACTGAGATCCCTGCTGAATGTAGCACAGACCAACTGTAAATATGAATCATACAGTGATAAACCTGAGCATTTAAATAAAAACAAACCAATTTACAAGATAAACTGGCACAGAAAGTAACTTTAGTTCATAGACTGTTTTCTGTGCCAACTAAAGAGCTTCAAATGTAGCTTATTTTAAATTTATAAATTAATTTCTTTAGGAAATAAACAGTTTTTAATTCTTAAACCAGACACTAATTTAACTTTTTAACAAACAAAATTGTCAAAATGTATATGTCGTCCATACATTCTGTCTTTGCTAAATCCTAGTGCCTACATTTCCCAGAATGCACCTGATCATGTGGGTTGTGATACAAGCAGGCGTTCATGTAATGCAGATCCACTTCCTGATGATCTGCAGATTTAATGGTTCCACATTAGATGATTGTTTACTTGTTTACATAACTCGTCGTGCTGATTTTACTTCATATTCTGTTTTGACAACGTACTCATGTTCACGCCCAGTATAAATCATTTATTTATCAATAAATTATAGTTGGTAGAAACTGAAATTAATGTGCAGCTTCATGCAAATGTTATTTTAGAATTCCAGCTTCACACATGGTATTGTCTTTTAGTGGTGGGGCGGATGTTTATTTCTGTTTTTACCTCCAACTATTATTAGTGGTAATGTCAAATGATCAATAGATAACTGGAAAAGGATTTAGATAATTGTTTCACCAGTTTACGTTAGTTTCAGTACTTAAAGTGCAACAGTGCTTTGTTGCCACAGCTAATGTTTCTTTGCTTAGAGATGAAAAAAATCTACAACTAAAACACCCGATGAGCTCAGTTCTTTCCACCCTGACACCCCCACATGTGTATTTATTATATTTAAATGTGTAACCACAGTGACTCAAGCGATGAGATTATTTCGAGCAGTTCCTTTACAAAAACCTACTAGATTGGAAGAAAAATCCCCAGTCAGGAAGGAATAAATTCAGCCTTATTTAGAAAACTAACTTTATTTAGCTTTGGCGCAGCACTGGAATTTTAATTTAGCTTTTTTTTTTTAATAATTAAATGTTAGAATATTTGCATTTTTTGGACAAACAGACATTTTTCACTTAAAGCATCCCTAAACATGTCAGGGTTTGAGGTGAATCATATTAATGTTAGCAGAAAAGGTAAAAAAAAATTGAAAGTTTCAAAAGTCAACCTTTAAACACCATAAACAACTTCTGCAACAGCTGCTGCAGATGAGGTCACGAGTAAACATTTCTCCAGCTGCCAAACTCACCAAACTCGTCGCAGATGCTCTCGTTCTGCAGCAGGGTGGGGTGCTCGAAGGTGTCACGGCAGTACAGGATCCTGGTGCTGCCGCCCAGCGCGGCGATGCCGCCCAGCGCCAGCACTGTGTGGTCTATGAGCAGCGAGGAGGGCTGCTCTCTGAGCCGAGCCAGAACGGAGCGGTAGCGGCAGTACTGCGGGTAACTCAGGACTAAAACCTTCCGCCCGTCCTCTTCCTGGCCTGAAGAAAAGACAAAAATTCAAACGATCAGATTCCACTTGGTTAACTGACTGGACTGGGAAGATGTGAATAAAAAAGGAAACAATTTTTTCCAAGTGCTTCTGTAAGATATGTAGTGATGGACACTTAATTTTACAGGACACATTTATTCCTCCTCCTCTCTCCAGGTTTTATGACTTCAGTCCTTTTTACAGATCATTATTTGGCTTCTGTTACTTTCCAGCACATCTACTACCAACGTGCTGCCAATAGAACAGCTATGAGTGTAACAATTGTGACTTTTAGTCAGTTCTGACAGATTTATGATCAATCTGAGAGGGGAAAAAAACATTTCAGTTATTCCTGGAAGGCTCTGATGCTTTGCTGTTTTGATTTCTACCTCTCCTAAAACTGTCATTAATCTGTTTTAGTAGCCTATATTTTTTTTATGCAACTGTTTGAAGGAAATGCATCACATTAAGGAAGTGAGACGCTCGTACGCTGTTTAAACGGTTTCACATCCTTTCCTTGTAGCAATAATACATTAACTGACAGGCACCCTTTGGTTTGTGCTGTAAAAATGTATGATGTCGTTAGGCTGCGTGTTTGAAATGCATGACCTGCGCTGCTCTCGCCGTGACAGGAGGAATGTGAACAGCTCAGAGAAAGATGGTATTTGGCTTGACTAGTTTTTGAACAAGCTAACTCATGGTGGGAAATTGTCAGAGCATTTGACACGAGGCAGATGTGAATGGGTGTGAGCAAACGCGCTCACTGACCAACGTCACACAAAAACAACACACTGACTGTACACCATGCTTTGTTATCAACAGTTTTGTTTTGGCTGTAGCAACATTTACCTCCACACTGTGCCTCTATTACATCCTATTCCACCAACAGGGCGTTTATTTGACTAATAAATTATCATGTGTAGCAACTTACTGGCAAAGAAACATCTCATCTTTGTTTGGAGAGCGTCAGGACAGGAAGTACACACTGAACCAATATGATAAACTCTCGTAAACGCAAGCAGATAGACGATCAAACAGTTAATGTTACACTAACGGCATGTCACAAGGATGTGTCTAAATTTGTCCAGCATCTTCTGAAATGTCCAAAAAAGGCTAAATGCAAAGAGTTGCTGAAGACTCTTTGCTTTAAATTGAATTTTCCGGCTATTTGGTCATGAAACACAAAAATGAAGGTTTTCACAATGTATTCTGAGGGAAGAATAATTGTATGTGTAACATTTCTAAGCAGTCCATCAAATAGTTGTTTAAATGTTTCAGTTCTGGGCCACAACAGTGGTCTGCCTGACAGGCTGCCATTCCTAATAAAAATACCACGAAGCTGAAGGTTTTCGTCTGGGAGTTTATTAGTCCAAGGTAAAACAAACAAGATAGAAACTATACAAATACACCACAGGGTGATGGAGAGATACCGCACATTGCTACAAAATAATTAAGTCACCACAATCTGCTAGAAACAAACATAAAATGCTCTAGTTATTTAGCTTTGTGTGTTCGTGACCTTTTCTCTACATAGTCAGTACTCTTCAGTACACAGAGAACTAACAGAAAGTTGGATTTTCAGGTTAAAGGGCAGACATGGATTCGTTTTCTTGTTTTAAAGGAACAGAAAACATATTACCCACATCACAGATATGCTCTTTGTAATTGTCTACATTAAAATTATTGTTTATATGTAGGAAATATACGTCTAGGACATAGTTAAGTCATGCATATTTTTGTGTTTACGCTGGAAAACCTTGCTAGTTCAGTAAATCTGATGTGATTTGTTGCTAAATCTTCCCAACAAAACACAGAATCTAACTTTACAAGATACATAACATACTGGATGCTTAAATACATACAACAAAATTGGATTTTTTTATGAATCAATAAGCCAAATTCAAATATTTGTCAGTGATACAGTATATACTCGATAAATATGCAAACGACTGCAGACATGTTTGAAAAATCTAATACAGTATGAAATGTCTACCAGACAATAGCCAGCAGTTATATGGATGTAGTTTGGGCATGCCTTCTGCCTCTTTTCTTCTCCATATGTGCTGTTTATCTGCAACTCAATCATTTAGCACTATTTGGACTACAAACTGACTTAAATTTGAAAAAGGTAGTCTACTTCTAAATCCTTGTCCTTTGCTTATAAACTCTGCATGTGTTCCTCATCTTATTCTCTACAATAATATATTGACAGGAAAATAACATTAAATTTAAAATGCACTGCTGCACAGTCTTGCAGTATTGATAGTTTTGGATCAAATTCATATTTTCAAGATTTGTTCGCTTTGAAAGAGGAGATATTTTGTTAGCATACAAAGCTGGCTACATGGTTCAACAGTTGATGAAGCAGAGTCAAGCAGTCTGAAACAATTTTACATGAATTATTCACCATACTGTCTGCTTTCACAAAGCTCTTGGACATAGTATTCATAAGTATTTCTTCTGGTAAGTAAATATTTCAAGGGGTGGCTAACCATCAAGTTTTTGCTTTACTTTCTTTAAGACATGACGGGTTGGGACATTTAAAAAGAGCTTATTTTTATCCCCCTTTTCTACTTTTTCCCGAGGCTGGAGGCTCATAAAAATCACTGAAATGTGCAGCAGGAAAAGGACAGGAGGGACGCCATTCATTGCATATTTACAGCAGCTGCATTCCCAACAATTAGTGTAATTAGTTCCACTGTGCTCCGATATGAAGACCACTTCAAAAGAATGATTAAAACCATTCAACCAGCGCACACAAAAAAAACCATACAAACACACAGACACCTTAAGACACAAAGCTCGCAGATGCATCGACACACGTATCCTTACAATCACCCATCTCACACCGCAGAGACACATTTATCCAAGATTGCGGCATTTGTCATACGCAATTACAGCTCAGAGGTATGAAGCGGGCTTTGTTTCCAAATGTCACAGATTTTATTGTGAGCGGTCACCGTCAGACCTGCTCTTTCTCCCGAGGACCCTCACAGCATTTCACTTGATTAGATTCAATTTGGAGAGAGCGCCGCAGGGCATTAATAACTGTACAAAGGCATTGTAAAGTATGCATGTCGGTGTGTGTGTCGGTGTGTGTACACTTTAAAAATTCCTTTTGTTCTTACAGCCTGACCTTTCAAAATAAACGAGGTCCTTATCGCTGATAAGCTTTCTAATTGGAGTTGTGGTTGTCTAACCGGAGAGCGTTATAAAATCTGTGGACAATAACATTTTTGCTTATGTCTGTTTCCAAAATATCTCCTGAACAGTTGAAGAAATTTTAACCAAACTATCAGAAAGTAACAAATAGATTCACATATGATGATGTTAATTGACTTTAGCCGACACAAAAATGGCTATAAATCAGACAACCTTATAGATATTCAGATAAATTTGATCAGATAGAAGCTGAAAGTCTTTTAAAACGCATACATGGCATTAAAAATGGCAGGCGATATGCATTCGTTTAAGCAAAGTGAGGCCTTTAGTTTGTTGACGTCCTCTTTCTCTGGGTAGGTCTTGTAGTGGTGGTGTAGCATGTTGATCAAACTGTTGTGATGTGGCAGATTATTTGCAGAACACGCTGTAAAGCTCCTGACCTCATAAAATACAACAGCGTCAGGGTCAGAGCTGCTCTACAGGACAGCTGACTTTAGAGCCATTCAGTCAGTGCAGCGCTCAGTAAATGCTAACACAACCACAGCACACCGTAAACCAAGACAGAATAGCAACCACTAAACAGTAAGTAGCGTACAACACATGCCCTGATTGAACGTATTACACCTAATGAGTCACTAGGGTTATTTTACCCTTCAACATAACTCACTGTACTGTTCCTGTCAAAATAATTACCCTGATGGCGTCATCGCGTTATCATGTTGTCATCGGGGTTGTTTCAGACTGGGCTTGCACTTTCTTATAAACAGAGACACAGTGTAATAAAGCGAAGGGTACGGACAATGAAAGACGGGATAATTGGACCCCTCCTGCTTAAATTGGACTCATTTTTTAACAGGTTTGATTGATTATGGTTTCAAATTGAAGTGATTGTACCCCCTTTGTTTGCTGAATGACACAATGAAATGTTCTACCTCAAACACTATATAGGCATCTAAATTCAATCAAAATCCCATTACTTTAATATATGCTACTATATACTGTATACATATACTGAGTGGGGTCTAGGTAGGGCAATAGTCTCCCCTAAAAGATTGCTGAACACCATCCCCTGCTTGAAATTCAAATTTTAACAACCGTGTCATTATCCTGAGTTTTAGTGGTTGTTTTGTTTTTGTTTTATTTATTTTATAATTGTGTTTTATTAAGTTGATTTGGTCTATTTTGTCTTTTTGTTCCTTGTGTTTTATTGAGTAACTCTCTTGTTGCATTCCAGTTTTTTTCCTCTGCGTCAGTTTCCATGTCACACCCTCAGTCAGTCCTGCTCCTCATCTCTCACCTGTTCATCATTTACTAATCAGACTAGCTGCGATCACATGTTCTCATCCCCCAAGTTTATTTATACTACTGGTTTTGACTCACTCATCAGTCCATCACCCTGTTCTCCCACCTGGTACATGAGTGCTCCTTGTTTAGTTCCCTTTAATATTCTGTTTCCTTCCTGGCTGGCCTTTTGTTTTTGTAATTAAAATCTTTGTTTTGTGTGTAACAAGCTTTTGTGGCAGTACTCTGCACCCTTGGGTCTTAACTTACCACATGCTGACAAACTAATCTGAAACAGCACAAGGATTTTACAAAGAAATTTGATGAGGTATTGCAATATGAATAATAACATTCCCCTCAAGTTTTAGTCTCAAAAGCAGAACTTCAAAGACGACTAAGTCAAGTTAAGACTAGAAGGAATGAACGAATCTTGAGATGAGAATCAGGAAATTAGGAGGATTTGATCATATCCACAGGTGAAAAACTTGCATTTCAAACAAGAAAGAAGCCTCAAATCTTTTTAAAAATCAGACGCAGGTGATTACAGCAAGTCAAGACATTATTTTA